ACTTGTTCTCAACTCATAATAATGACCAAGTGTCTCATAACAATGAGAGAATTTGCTCATAATTATGAGAAATTAAGTCGTAATTATGATATGCTAAGTCATAATTATGACAGTTGTTATTGTGAATGTGAAAGTCGTAATTATGGGAAGTCATAATTATGAAATGCTTTATCACAATTATGAGATGCTAAGTCATAACTATAAGATGCTAAGTCATAATTGTGAGATAGTATGTCATAACTATGACATAGTAAGTCAGTATTATGAGATACTTAGATATAACTATGATATGCTAAGACTGAATCTCATTACTTAGAGATAGTAAGCCATAATTATGACATGTCATTATTATGAGATACTAATTCATAATTGTGAGATTGAATCTCATTATGGATACCTAGTCATAATTATGAGATGCTATGTCATAATAATGAGATATTAAGTGATAATTATGAATGAATAAAAAGGTTCTTCTTCTTGTTATTCTTATATATTATTATTCTTTTTAGTATGGAGACAGGCATAAAGCAGGAGAGAGTCTGAGTTAGAGCAGTGTGAGTTTGTTCACCAGCCACTTTAAGAACAAACTCTGCTCACAAAACCCTTTTTTTTGACATGGCTGCCTCTGCACTGCACAGTATAACTGGTCCAATAAACAGTGATTAGAACCAGTACAAGGAACGAAAACCAAAAACAAACTTTTTTCCACAGGATGTTGTGGAAAACATGATGAGGCTGAAGCTTCTTATGAAGCTTCTCCCTGCTACTTATTCATAATTTCTGTTCCACCTTAAATGGTGGTGCAGTTACATTATGGTGCATAAGCACCACTGAGGTAAATGCTGCATCATTTAAGGTGGAACTGAAAAGCTGAATGAGCTGGCGAATACAAAGCCAACCTCAGCCTCATGAAAAGAGGAATAAAAGATAACATCCAACTGCTATGGAATGAAAACGTGCTTCCATTTTCAAAGAATTGAAAAAGAATTCGAAAACATTTCTTTTCAATGAATTATGACTACAGTACCCTGATGAGAAAACCTATACAAGAAACCATTAAGTGTTTCTGTTGGTACCTAATGGTTTTGTAATGTGTTTTGGCTTTTTTTAATAGGTCGATATCAAAATGTAAAGGATCCTAATGGTTTAACAGGTGACAACTGGATGATTCTAAATGCATTTGATGGTTTCCCAATGGGATCTAAAATCTAATTCTACAGGAAACTAGTGGTGTGTGTTGAAAACCATTAAGCCAATTCCCATATGAAAGCAAAAGCATTCAAAAAAACTTAAAACCATCTTAATCCTAATGGTTTTTAATGGTCCTTTTTCAGCAGGGTTTCCCCTGAAATGGGTTGTCTGATGGTACGTTGTGTTGAAATATTAATCAGCTGTAATCGTTTATTACAAATTACTAATTTGTCAAACTTCCTGATGTTACTTGGTATAATCTATGAATTTTCATCGTGTCACTGTAGTCTGTAGCTACTCCAGAAATTGGATAAACTACATGTAGGGTGGTTTAGTCTCTGCTGTATCCCTTCATCACCAACTCTGGAGCTGTCTTGGTTTTAAATTAAGTGGAGTCGAAGAGTCGATTCAGTTGATTCCAGCAACAGGAGTTGAGAGCCAGAGTTGACTCCAAAAAACACTGAGTCAGGCACCATACCATACTTTACCATACCATAATCAGGCTACCATTTATTTTTGAATCACAATAGATACATTTGAGTTTGACAACAGCAACAAAAATAAACAAACAAAACAAATATATATATATATATATATATATATATATATATATATATATATATATATATATATATATATATATATATTAGTAATGTTTTGTTCCATTAATGTTTTTTGCCCTTTTCATTCGTTTAAGTTTGCCAGAACTTAATGTATTCCTTTTGAAAACACTGGAAGGAAGATTACAAAAAACAATCATTTTGTCTTTTAATTCATATGATGTGATGAATATAATTAATGATCTGGACATGAACTAACAAGGTAAAAAAAAAAGGTTTAATTTTAAGAATTTGATTTTTCTGTCCTCCAAAATAACCCCATTTTCTGATACAGCAAATAGAAACCTGCATCAATTGGACCTGTGCACAACTTTTAAAAAGGGGATACCGACATTTACTACCAGGTGTCACCCAGGAGCGCTGTATCACTCTATAATAGTAACAGTTGCTCAAACTGCTCCAGAGCCTGTAAGAGTAGTGTTTGAATCAGGTTAAACTATCAGAAAATCTTTAGTGTTCATGCTGTCTTGCTCAATACTTTGTCTTTGCAATCATTTAGCAACCAAAATTGGGTAATATATTTTCTGAACAGTCATTGCTGTCATTGTTGGCACCAGTATTTCAAATGTAGGGCTTTTCCTAAAGTAGTAACTTGATTTTGCGTCATTATTGCCCTTGTTGCGTTGTTTGAGCAGTGAAAATGCCTGAGCTGTGACCTCCACAACTGAACCGAACTGTTTCAGCAACAGTGGCTGTAAATTGGTCATTGGGCTGAAGGCAGGAAACACCCTGGAAAAGTTGCCAGTCCATTACAGGTCCGACACACAGTAACTGTCCACACAGTTACAGGTCGAACACACAGACATATGCATTCACACACACACACACACACACACACACACACACACGCACAAACACGCACACAGACACACGCACACTCACACCTAGGGCCAATTTAGCATTTCCAATTGACCTGACTGCATGTCTTTGGACTGCTGTAGGAAGCCAGAACATTGAATAAACTAAAAGTAATCTTAGCATGTGCAAAAGTTGCCTTTTCAGTTGTTAATTTACTCATTAGGTCTTAATGGGCCTGTTAAAACTATTTAGGCAGGCCAAGAATCATCAGCTGATGCCAATTACAGACTGTAATAAATACAACTCAATACAATCTTATATTAACATTCTACAACCATGGGCTCCTCTAAGCAGCTTGCTGAGAATCTAAAAATGAAGCTAAGTGATGCCTATGAAGCTGGGAAAGGCTATTAAAAGATATCAAAGCCCTTCCATCTTACAATTTTTACTGTCTGAAATGGCAGTTAAGGGGAGCTATGGAAGTCAAGGCAAGATCTTGAAGACGACTCTTATATAGAACTGCTTGTATGCGGGTCAGAAATGCAAAGCAAAACCCCTATAGGACACGCAGGAAGGTTTATCTGACACAGGAGTGGTGGTGCACCATTCTACTGTGCAATGTTGCTTGTACAAGCTTGATCTGCATTGAAAAGTCATCAGAAGGAAGCCTTACCTAAAAATTCTATAGAAAAGTCAATGTCTAAAGCATGCAAATCAACAACTCTATAAGCCAGAGGCAATTTTGGAAAAAAGTGCTGTGGACTGGTGAAGTAAAAATGGGGATTTCTCAATCATCAAGGTTATGTCTGGAGAAAAAATGAGCAGCATTTGATGAAAAGAACACCTTGCCAACGCATGGTAGGTCTATTATTATTTGGGGTTGTATGGAAGCCAGAGACAAAGGAAGCACTGTCACAATCAGTCATGAAATTGAAGCTGAAAAGAGGCTGGCTTCTACATCAGGACAATGATCCAAAACATACCTCAAAATCTATCAAACTTCTTCAAGAAATGCAAGCTGAAGCTTTTGGAATGGCCCTCACAGTCCACTGACATGAACATGTTCAGTCTCTATTATACTGTACCTAATGGTGGTATAGTTTAATGTCTATATTTAATGTCTCTTTGCACTCATCTTCTGCTGTGCTGGTTTAAATATAGCACTGTGTTCCAGAGCACCTATATTTCGTTTCTCACTCAACACACGTCTGTGGTGATAAAGAATGACAATAAAGTTGACACTGTCTTTCACAAAGCTAGAGGAAAGATGAAATTACGATTCTGTAAGATTCTCTACATTTAAAACCTGAATTAGTCAAACAATTACCTCTTGACTTCTTGATAGCAGAGCTTTAAAAATGCATGCGGCTCAGAGGAGCAGGAAAATCTGCTGGATAGCCCTTGGGCTGTTTAATTTTCTATTGCATGCATTATGAGAACAATGTTTTAAAAAATGTTTGTCACTTTTCTTTCACAAAATGACCTGTTTATTAAAATCAAACACAAATAAATAAAAAAACAGGGTGTCCTTTTGGGGTGAGATGCCTTGAGGAAATTGTGCGATACTGGAAAGAACTCATATAGAGCAGCATTTCAAAAAGAAGATTTTCTGAAAATCGAAATATTTGGAATGAATCTGAGTTAGTATACATTGTATACACTGTACATACATACTTTTACTTAAATTCACTTAAAGAGACCGTTTATGTAACTTAGTTTCCATGTGTTTTGGGGAGCGAACAGTAAGTTTCTGCAGCTTACTACATTAAAGGGGAATTCCACCAATTTTTCAAAATTTCTGAATAATTCAGTCCTTGAGATGTAAACAGAGTCATTCAGACTGGTTTAATGTGAAATGGTTAATTGTGGGGAAAATAACAGACTCTGCTTTCAGAAATAAAACTAAATCAGTGTATTACAAATTTATAAAAAAAAAATGATAAAAGCCAAAACCTTGTCACAAAACTATCATAAAACAATGCCTCTGACATCAGGCAGCGTATTTCTAAGCATTCCATGTAATAACCATCTATGAGGGAGCTTTTAGAGGTGGACGTCTGGTTCCTATCACCACCTTTGTGTACAATTCTGACTCCGTAAGTTTTTCTAGAACGGATCATTTCACACCAAACCACTCTGAATGACTTTGTTTACATCTCAATCATGTATTTATGTAGAATTATTTGAAAAAATCGGAGTTCCCCTTTAAAGTCTTTTACTTTAAAAAGTGAGGACAATTCGTTTTTCCGTGATGTGGGCCCTTTAAGCTACCTGGCTAACTGAGTAATCCTTCATGGAGTACCCCTGATTTAGCTCAGAATGGACTGACCACTAGCTGAAGATTCAGCTGCAGGAGAATAAAAACACGAAACTGTCCAGAGGCAGGTGGGCTACATGACCGGAGGAGGGAAAACTCTGCCATTATACGTCGTGACTTTTCCTCGTCATCGGCGGAAGGTCAGCGAACACAACCGGAAAGCAAGACTACTAACCCGATCCGCCATTGTGGAGCAAAAGTGGGGGGAAAAACGGAAGGGTTGCTGTTTTACTCCCCATCGGACGACACGCTGAGTGAATGTTTCGGAGCGACTCGAGTCCCATTCTCCAGTCCAGCAAGTCGACATCCGTGGCCTCCGTCGTCTAAAGCGTGAGAGAGCCGGTGGAGTTGGCCGAGGCGCAGCGGGGAGAGAGCGAGAGCCAAGCGAGGAAACAGCGCACAGGTAGCGGGCAGCAGTGGCAGCAGAGACCGTGGACACTCAGCACAGCAAGCAGCTCGGGCTCCTGGAGGATGTCTGCCACAACTGTCGACCAGGTAAGTTACATGACCGACTGGAGTGGATTTATTAGTATTCTCCCGACGTATTTTCCCTCGCTGTGTTTAGTGAGGTAGCCAGCTAACCTGGTCATGTCGGTTTTAAGCGTAGTTATGTTGGAGCGAACGAGCTGGGTTAGCTAAGTAACGTTAGCCTTAGCTGATGGCTGTTGCTAGGCCGAATCATTTGCCATGTACCCCCCTCTCTCCCTCCCTTTCCCTCCACATACAGTCAAGTCGGTGTAGACAGTTCATCCACATTGCACAACACTTTGTTTCTCAGGCAGCTATGGACCTTTTTTATGACCAGGTGAAGTATTTATGATTAGCTTTATTTATTTAGCACTGAAACATCGTTAGCTCTGCCTGCTGCTGGGCAGATTGGGCCTCTGCCTTCAGAGCATGAACACATTTGTCGGTCAGCGATGCTGGTAAATGCATCTTAATATAGTCTCAGTTTCATTTTTTGTCTTTTCTCCCTTCTTGTCGTCGCTCACATGCACTGCCAACGCGATAACAGAGACCTAAAGGACAAGGAAATAAAGGTACGTCACCTGTTGGAGTTACGATTTGACTTTTTACAGTCGTGCTGGATGCTATGCAGTGATGTTTAAAGGGCCCATATCATAGACAGCACGAATTACCCCTTCTGTTGTTTTTTCACGTAAAAGGTTGTAATGTTGTTTGTAAATATTACAGAAGTTTCAAAATGTTAAATTCACTCCCTTTTCCACATATAGAAATTGCAAAAATATCCTGTTTTTTGTAATGTTAACATTTTACATATGTTGAGCCAACTGCAGTTGAGTGTCACCTATTCATATTGAAGTTATAAGCAGTGTTTCAGCACAGATTGCTGTCTGAATGATGCACAGTACAGTGCAGCCAGTAAGAAGAGGTTGTTTACACATCAGTTTTAAAAGCACAGTAGGAAAAATAGCTTCTTAAATTATGAAGAATAAAGAAAGGTCATGTAAAAATTAATTTTGATTGTTTAAAGTTCATAAAACCACGTGTGTCTAACGTGGACCCTAAAATACAGGGAAAATGTAGGATTTGGGCCCTTTTTAGCATGTTTTTTGTGTCTGGTAGTATTTTAAGTCATTCTAAGATGTACTTATATTCTAAGTGTGGACCAAGATATAATATTGGATCTCAGTTATGTTGTGTGGATTGTACAGATACATGCATTTACAAGACACCCATCATGTTATACATTTTGGCAATTAAGACAAAAGTCTGATTGCCCCTGTACTGATTTAACAACTGATGGTGGAAAACTTGAGTCTCTCTTTCTATGATGCACCACATCTTATTTATTATCTTACTGTTTATTCTGTACTTGCATCAAATTATGACAAGAAACAGTGCTGTACATATGTTTGTATTGAGATGTGTGGGGCAGCCAACTTGGTGCCACACAAAAAGAGGTGGAAATAACTGTTAATTAGGGCTGGGCAATATGACAATGTTTGTCGTTATTGTGATAAATTACTTGACAATATGTTACAATATGATTTTCTGAGTATGTTGTGTATAATGTAAGCACTTAAAAAACAATTAGCAGATTTTCCCCCAAAAAAGTATAAATAGTCCTGTTTAGTTGGATTTAATGTAGCAGACAGTATGTGGAATGTTGAACAATAATAATTGTATTAATAGTATTTTTTTTTACATGTGATGTAAAATTATGTTTTTGCCATATCGCCCACCTCTACTGTTAATGCTGGGTTTTTTTTGCTTGTTTTCTGTAGTGCAAAACGGTTCAATGCATCAGAAGGATGCTGTAAATGATGATGACTTTGAGAATTACTTGAGCAGCCAGACAAATCAGGTGAGCGGAGTCATGAACTTCACATTATGTGTCTAAACAATGTTATGATGCAGTTAATCTTCAGAAAAGTCCTTGGCTGTGTAGTGAGTAAGATACTGGATGATTGTTTGTCCAGTCAAAAACACTACATTCATAGATATCTTCATTCTATGTTAAATCTAATTCAAAAGGTGTTAGTTACCTTAATACCTGTCTGCAATATATGTTCATTGTTTTTCCTTAGACCTCTTATTGAGACAATTATTTATAGTCATCCTTTATTTTAAATTATTTCCCATACAGAGTAATAGCTACCCACCAATGTCTGACCCCTACATGCCCAGCTACTATGCCCCATCTATCGGATTCCCTTACTCTCTGGGTGAAGCTGCTTGGTCTACCGCAGGAGACCCTCCTATGCCCTACTTGACCACCTATGGACAGATGAGCAATGGTGAGCACCATTTCATCCCGGATGGAGTATTCAGCCAGCCTGGAGCTCTAGGCAACACACCTCCCTTTCTCAGCCAACATGGATTTAACTTCTTTCCTGGCAATGCAGACTTTTCCACCTGGGGCACCAGTGGCTCACAGGGACAGTCTACGCAGAGCTCAGCGTACAGCAGCAGCTACGGCTATGCCCCCAGCTCTCTGGGCAGGGCCATCGCGGACGGACAAGCAGGGTTTGGCAGTGACACGCAGCTTAGTAAAGTTCCGGGTCTCAGCAGTATCGATCAGGGCATGGCTGGACTCAAGCTTGGGTCCGACATGGCGGCCGTCACTAAAACTGTGGGTTCTCCTCTTGGAGGAACCGCAGGTATGAGCAGTATGGCAGCCAACAGCATGCCGCCTGTAAGCTCTTCTGCTCCTAAGCCCACATCATGGGCAGCTATAGCTAAAAAACCTGCTAAACCACAGCCCAAGCTAAAGCCTAAAACCAATACTGGCATGGGAAGTGGTGCTGTGATTCCTCCTCCTCCTATAAAGCATAACATGAACATTGGTACTTGGGATGATAAAGGCTCCATCACGAAGCAAACCCTTGCTCAACAGATGCTGCCACCTCAGCCCCTGGTGCAGCAACAGCTCCTGGCCCAGCCCCAGCCCTTATTGCAAAGCCCACTGCCTCCACAGCCTCAGCACCAGCAGATCCAGCTGCAGTCCCCCCAGCCCCCTCAGCAGCTCCCCCCAGGCCCCCCTCACCCTCTCCAACACCATCCCTCTCAGCCTGGTCCCCCTCAGCCCCCACACCCACTCCCTCAGCAGAACGCACCACCTCAAAACCGTTGGGTGGCCCCGAGGAACCGGGTCGCGACCTTCAACCAGAACAGTGGGGCCGAAACCTTCGGCCTGGGTACCGGGGTGCCCTTGAGCACCTCACCCTCCTCCAGTGAGGTCCACCCCGTGCTGGAGAAACTTAAAGCCCTCAACAACTACAACCCCAAAGACTTTGACTGGAACTTGAAGAACGGACGGGTATTCATAATCAAGAGCTACTCGGAGGACGACATCCACCGGTCCATCAAGTACTCCATCTGGTGCAGCACCGAGCATGGCAACAAGCGCCTGGACGCCGCCTACCGCTCGCTGGGGGCCAAGGGCCCGCTCTACCTGCTGTTCAGCGTCAACGGCAGTGGCCACTTCTGTGGTGTGGCCGAGATGAAGTCCACAGTGGACTACAATGCCTACGCAGGCGTCTGGTCTCAGGACAAGTGGAAGGGCAAGTTCGAAGTGAAATGGATCTTTGTCAAGGACGTGCCCAACAACCAGCTGCGGCACATCCGCTTAGAAAACAATGATAACAAGCCCGTCACCAACTCCAGGGACACTCAGGAGGTGCCCCTAGAGAAGGCAAAGCAAGTGCTTAAAATTATTGCTACTTTCAAGCATACCACCTCAATCTTTGACGATTTTGCACATTACGAAAAGCGGCAGGAGGAGGAGGAAGCCATGCGAAGGGTAAGCATGGCTCTCCAGCACACTCCATAATAGCTGAAAGCAATCTCTGTCCATCTATAGATCTCACCGATCCTATCGCTCGAACAGTATTGGATTAGAACATCGTCAGCATGTCCATTCATTTCAAAGGGAGGGCTTTTAATAGTGCTTGAATTTGCAAGCCAAATGAGTGTTGCTCTGTTATTTGTGCTTCAAAGGTGGGCATTGGAAAGCATCATTATTTCCCAAAAATGAAATTAGGCCTATATTAGGAAGACAGTGAATGTAGAAATTGTAACGAATCTAAAATCTTTATTGTATTCAATTGTCTGGAAGCTAAGACTTGTTACTTGGGCCCTTGCGATTCATGGAACTTTTCACCGATGGGTTCAGAGAAAGACATAATGAATTTAATGGTAATTGAAGGGGGGTTGTAACCTCATAGCTTAATACCAAAGAACTGGCACTAACTGGTGACGACATACACCAAGCGGTTCAAACAGCAAGCAGATGTCCCATTAATAGATGTTACACTGACATCATTTCCTGCCCACGCAACACAAATTATTAATGACCGTGCCCATTACCTCAACATCAGCTGCTTTTCATCTCCATCTGTGTTGCATGACAGCAGAAGTGCTTTATAATATATTTGACTGCAATACATGTGGATGTGATACTGGGTTGAGTTAGACATAATAGAGACCTACTAGCTAGAAGATAAATACACAAATTAGGGATGCACAGTGATATCAGAACTATATTGATATTGGTGGATAATTGTTTTTAAAGTAAATATTCCTTCTTGCAGCACCTCAAACTCATTTGTGGTGTAAGCCACACTCACTTTCCGTTTATAATTTGAAAGAAAATATAAAATGTATGGCTCACAAATCAGTATCAAAACGAGTGTCTGTATTAATCAAGACAAAACCCATCAAATTCAGTCATAAAGTGAATAGTACCCATTCTGAAATCTGATTGGCTGAGCCAGGTTTGAAGTCATTGTAAAATAACTGATGTACATGCGCTTATGAGCACACTCAACCGAATCCTGTATTAAGGCACGAAGACCAAGACCACGATTGAGGCCATTCAGAATATAGATTCGATCCGACTGAACGAGGTGGGTAGCCCTGTAAATAATCCATTAAATAGAAGAATAATAACCATGTAAACGCCGTATCTGATTACATTCCCAGTCTGAAAGTTTAAGTATGTTCTGTGCATGTGCGTCATAGCGAAAGTTAATAACGTTAGTGGGAGCAGAAACTGGTCTGCAGTGGAAACGAAGTTTATGCTTTGAGCTTTAGAAGACGGCGGTGGGACGAGCGTCCAGCTTATGTTTCTCAGAACACAACGTCTTCCTCTCAGCCTTCTTTAATAAGGATATGTGAAGTACGTTTTCCTGAGTCTGACATCATTTTAAAGTAATTAAAAAAAACACGAGCACTGCTCACTGCTGCTCCTCTCACGCTGACAGGATGCTCGTTGTCATGGTAACGTGTATGGTACACTAAGTGGCACTAATTTTGGATCTGATTACTTGTAGTGTGCATGTAAACAGAGATTTTCCATCAGATTGTTGAGTTGAGCAAGCATTTAAACACCCCAGTCTTAACATATAATCACAATGAATTCAGTCGGATCGGCAAAAATAAACATAGCCAGTGTTCCTTGTTTGCACAGAATGAAGTGCTGGTAGGTGGGGCCAGGCATCAGCATGTATATGACTTAAATGAACCAAAACCATACTAAACTTACCCTGCGCACTTACTCTTGGAGAACATGGACAACATAGTTGTTTTATCTCGTGTGGATGTTTACTTAGATATGGTACATTGTTGTAGTTGTGCTGTCACCCTCTCAGAAAGTGGTTCCAAACACCACTGTTTTTAGCTGTGTGCTTCATTTTCTAGTAGGCCTATCCAGCCGAACAAGTTGCCTATTGTGCCATTGTACGTAGACTCTAACAGCTTTTAACTTAAATGATAAACTTGCCTATTCAAATGGGAACTGTTGTTTTTTTCGCTAATGAAATGCAATAGAATAAAGTTTGTTTTTTAACCAGTAATGTTGGTAGAAAAGTTATTTGTCCATTAACGGTTAATTGATTAGTCATTTACATTCCTAAGCCAGCCTTAGTGACCATTACAAATGAATATTTCTCCCCTTTTTTAAAAGTGTCTTTTGGCATCAGCATGGACAGATACATATGTGAAAAATATACACATCTCTATCGACAGAAGTCCAGTATCGTCCCTTGTACAAGTAGTTCAGATGGTTCAAATGCAAGTGTCTGGGTGCAGTGGGAGTATTAGTTGTAGATGTGGTAATTCTTAGGCAGTAGTAAAGGTTACACAAGCATTTACTGTATATGGCAGGTCAGCACTTTGGGGAATTGGGTTTTGCAGAGAGCCTGATTTCCAGTACATTTGATTAATAATCTCTCCTGGATTGCATGGACAGTAATGAATTAAAGTACACCCATTCCAAAGGCCAGTGGATTTTTTTTTTGTCTCTTCTCTCCAGGCTCACCTTTTTGGGGGGTTGTCTTGTTCCCCTGTTTGATTCCTAGAAAAAGATTTATGGAGTGTAATTCTAAAACATAGGCTAAGCCAGGGCAGAATCATATTTCACCTCAGAGAGAAATATCTCTGACGGGTTCTGAATGATTTAAAAAGTATTTAGTATTGGTAGCATGGTGTTCATCCAAGATAAACATGTTTGTTGGCTTGTCTCGCTCGTTTTCCACCATGACTTTGCGAAGAGATTTGCCGTGACGGTACATGCTGCACACACTGACGTTACAAATTGCTTGGTACACACTGGGCCGACTGGATGTAAATGTTTGGGTGCTTGGCACAGGTAATGTTAGGCTGTCTTTTTGATAGGCTGTGATTTGGATATACACAAACCTTTAACTTTATCAGATAAGCCGAAGCATCTCCAACAACAGTTTTTGTAGGCAGTTACATCATTACGTAAAGCATTTTTATAGCTAAAAGTGTGCATAATGGAAAAGCTGCTGACCGTCAGTGGTGTTTTTTTTTGGGGTTTTTTTTTGCGTATTTTCATTTTATTGCTTGCAATTTGTGATGAAAGTGGATGGAAACTAATTTCATGGAATCATGATGTTTTGTTTTTTGAGGTTTGATAACTTAGATTTATGATTTTTTTTTTTTTTATTCAACGTTTCACACACTGCACTGCAGCGAATCCATGTAACCAGGACTGATTATACTATCTTAATGAAACATACTGTTAGTCAGTCAGTGTTCTTTAAGTACTGTCAATATCCACGATATGCTCAAAGAACATTTTGCGAGCATGTGACGTGATTTATCATGATGAATATTAGGACAGGACAGTATAACATTTATTGTTATCATGATAAGTTACTGTATGTCACAATATGCTTCTCTGAGTATATGGTATCTATTGTACGTACTTAAAGAACAATAACAACTGCATATTTAATTAGAAAGAAGCGTAGTTAGTCCTGTTTACTTGGATTTATTGAAGCACACAGTATGTGATGTTGAAGTAATTGTATTCATAGTATTTTTTGAATCTGACACTGCTTGTTCTTTTTTGTTTGTTCCACCTTACAATATGTCAAAAAAATATTGAGACAGGTTTTGTATCGTGACATTATATTTTCCATATCACCCACCTGTAATGAATATTGTCACTGGCGGCCACTTATCACAGTTGGTTGGGTGGAGATGATGGCAAGAATATCACAGTGCTTCACGACACTTTCACGATACACAATATCAGTCACAGTATTTATTGTTTCTGAGGTTTGATAAATTGGAATGGATTAAAAAAAAAGAACAGCCACATTAAAAAAACAAACAAACAAAAACTTTCAAAAACTATGAATACATTGGGCCCCATCACCAACCATTCTTAAGAAGAAATTTCTTCTTAAAACCCACTTAGACAAAGATTCTGACATACAGGTAAGAACAGAATCTACACACTCAAGAGCACAAAGGTGCGAACAATTCTGCGGTTTGAAAACACGTCATGAACCTGATGTAGACTTCTTTGAGGACCTTTCTCAAGAACAAATTCAAGAAAAATCTTAGGAAGATACTGGTGAATGAGGCTGATTGAGTTGTATACATAGTTTTACATAATCTACTGCACTGAATCCAATTATACAGAGCTAATTATTATTACTATTAGGGATATTTTTACTTTGTATGTTGCATCTAGTTAGCAGTGTCCAAAGCTGGTTGATATACAAAGCAGTGTTCATAAGAAGGGTATGTTTACTATGGTTTTGGGCTGTTTACTTCATATACACAGAAATCCTGGATAAAAGTCAGATTATGAAGTTTTGTAAATCGATTCAGAATCTTTCAAAAGAGAATAGCGTTGCACCCAGAATCAATTGTTTGTGTACTATAAACCAAATGGTATGTACAGCTGTTTAACTACTGTCTATATATTTTTGCCCAGTTTTGTCCTGTTGTGGTTTTGTAGACCTGTAGTAATGATGGCAGTGGTGGTTCAGCCGTTGAGCTAGGCTAGGTTAACTAGAGGCAGACATGAATTTCCTGAAACAGCTCACATTCCTCACATTCCTGTTCCGAGGCAAAGCAGAGGTAGGCTCTGCTATGTCTTTGAACGTGAGGGTTTTGCATCGATTGACTGGCCGTGCTTATAAAGCTGCTCCCTTTTTTGAGGGCATTGAAAAGGACGGGGTTATTCTTGGAGAAGCTGTTGGTAAAAAACTCTTCTACAAAACCTCTGAACTTTTTTGGACGAGATGAAGTTCAAGAATTAGTTTGCTTAGTAGTCACCTGTTATTAGCACACGTTTTATTGGGTAATACGTTGTAGTGAACTGTCCAAGCTGAAGTAGAGGTTTGAGATTTAAGCCTGATCTCCCTGCTCTCTGCTGACCTCGCGTTTTCCCTGTAGTGTATTGACCACACTGCCAAGCTGATTAATTTGTACTATGTTACTCGCTCCTGAATATTTCAGTAAGGTGTAACAGGGGAGGCCTGAATGGTAGCTGTTGGGGGTGGTGGGTAAGGGGTGGTTGACTGATCTTATTCTCAAACTGTATTAGTCACCTACAGCTTAAACTCATCAGCCTTTCTCACATTGACCAGGTCAGTTGTCTGATGCTCTGCTCACAAATGTTTCTTCATTGTTGTAGTTTTACAGAACGTCAGCAAAAATCCTTTTCAACTTGAAAAGAAATTGTTGTGCACAGCTCTGGTTTTGTCAGAACATTAATTTGATTTATTTCATGGAATTGATTTTATATTCCTTAGAAATGTGGTAATGTGTTAGTTTTTGTCTAATAGAAGTAATTAGAGATGAACGTCATTCATGGTTGGCGCAACCATCTAAGCGTTGTCCGTATAATCAGAATATTGCGGGGCGGATGGCCCCCCCTCAGCGCAATGCTAGCCAGTGCAGGCATCCGTTAGCTGACCTAACAGAACCCGGTTCCTCCGAGCGTGTTTAGCTGATGATGTTGCGTTAGCAGCAGTTTGAAAAGATGCAGTGGTGCTTCACACGGAGCCTGTGCTAGCTTTCGCCCTTTTAGTGCTGGTAGTATCATATGATTGGGGGAGTCCTAACTAGTGGGTGGAATTGGAAATGACAAAATTGGGGGGGAAAAAATTCACTGGCTGGTTTGACTAAAGCCTGAAAGATATATTAAAAAAAATGACCAACATTGATTTTTTTGAAGGGCTTAGAAATTCTGATAACTGATAATATCGGCTGATATGTGGTCAGAAATTAAACATACTCCAGTATTTTTAAACAGTGCTTTACTGACTGATGTACTGGCGGTCTTCAGTTGTCAGGTTTCTTAAACTCAAACAGCCGAAGGTTGTAAAGGTCCTGCTGATTTCTATTAATTAGCTCTTATTTTGTTTTTTCATCAGTTTTTTTTGGCGCTATGCTAGCTTTTTGCCAAATGTCTGATTTGGATGATGTTTTTTGTTCAAATTTACACTAAAACAGTAAAATTACATTCAGATATAACAGTCTGTATAATTCAGTCTGCATTTCTGAAATAGAAGTGAGCAGGTGGTAACTGTGTTAGCAGTCTCTACTTCAGAGATGTGCTTACAGACACTGTACTGAACCGCTGCCTTATCGGTGGGACTTCTCCAAACACAGATAAATTCATGGGACCTCATATCGGCTGTTATAATCAGTCATTTCTTAGTTTTAGTTAATGTTGCAGGTTATACCTTTAGCTACCTACTTGTAATATGTCTGAAATTACGTGTTTTGTACCACAACTTCTCATTAGGTTGAACTGGATATTTGCTGACATTCTCTAAAGCTTCTCCAACCCAATTATTGCTATTAAAGAACGCACTTGTGGGCAGAGCATGGATGTATAAACTGTTGGACATCGTTACATGTAGCTTGTTGGAGACTCATAAATGGTCATAGGTTAAAGGGATGTGAAAAGCTTTGGAAGATTCGGTGCTGAAGAGTGTGGTAATATTTTCAGGTGAGCCTGAGGAGTGAAACTGACTGATATATTTTGTTGGAGAACTAAATTCCTGCCGTAAGGGATGTTCCTACGACTGTTCGGTTGGGATAGTGAAGATAATTAATGGCATGGTGACATCAGTCTCTCTTAGGGTCTTTCACTCCCTACATCCTCTCTGAAGGAACAATTTTCTTTTAAGTTATAATTCTGCTCTACATTCCTAGGTTGTCTTGCTGTGGATGGTGAAAGTATCAGTATGCCTTATTCTCAATAGACACCATAAGAACCGTTGACATGGAAAACAAAAATTCTTTAAAAAGGTCCTCTGTTTTTACCTGAAAAGCTAGTAGCTATAGATGTATATTATATATCATAATGAATTACATTGCATGTTGTTTATTATCAGTTCTTCAACAGCACTGGCTATGCTAACTGAGTTTTTCATTAAAAAGTTGTTTACAGGTGGCTTGTTAAAGGGGAATTCCACAGATTTTCAAAATGTCTGCACAACTTAATTGTTAAAATGTTAACTAATGATTCAAAGTGGTTTGATTTGATTTGACATGCTCCATTCTAGAGAAACCTGCCAACTCAGAAATGTTCACAGTGGCGGTGATAGGAACCAGACCTCCAAAGAGTGTAATGCCTCCAAACAATGACCTCACAGAAAGTTACTGCATGAAATGGTTGTGAATATGCTACCTGAAATGTTTTACAATAGTTTGGATAAAATTTTGGCCTAAAACACATTTTTTTTAATTCATTAATAGCAGTGAGATTCATGCAGGTGTAAGGCCAAATGGTCCCTAAAGAAAACACATTTTTCTCCTGTGTCCTGCTATTTTACTGTCATCACCTTTTACATATAAAAAAGTAAAATATGTGACAGTTCGCTTGTAGACATAATGACCCCTAGTTCCTGTCATCACCACTGTAAAGAAATCTGAGCTGATAGTTTTTGAATAAACCATTTCACATCAAACCATTCAGTTGGCTTAGTTTACATCCCAGTGATAGAATGCTGAAGATTATGAGAGATTATGCAGAATTTTGAAATATTGGTGGAATTTTCCCTTTAGTTCTGCAAAAATGAATGCTGTGCAGCACAGAGTGTGAAAATTGAAAAAAACAATCATTGTTCTTATAGCTTTAGGTAGCATTTTATAAATATGGCACTGTAGGTGGGCGATATAGCAAAAATGTAATATCACAGTGCTTTAAGAAGTTTTCATGATGTGCAATATGTCATGAAATATGTTTTGGAGAAGACAAAGAAGTGCCACGTCAAAAACTATGAGTACAATGATTTATGTTCACCATTTCACATCCTGTGCTGCACTAAATCCAGTTACAGGACTAATTATGCTCTTTTTGTAATTTAACATGTAGTTGGGAAGTGTTTTTAGGTACTGACGATATCAGAAAAGCATATGTGACATAACTTATAACAAGAAATATTGTCTTATTGCCCAGGTCTTCTGGACCGCTGCTTAATACTACAGTAAAATCACTTCATGTTTAGTATTTAGTGACTCATGTTTAGTTTTTTTGGCCTACTTTTAAAATGACTAGTTAAATGTTCACTTTTGATTGAATTTGATTGCCCTATCTGATGCCCCACCTACATGATTTGACTAACACTTGCAGTAAAATCATATCATTTTTATATGTGCTTAATGCCGTACACATTAAACTGATAGCTTTTATTTGTTGGAGTACTTATCGTTTCATTAGGAGACAACCATATTGTAGTGCAGGCATGTTAAATTGGGGACTTTCTGGGCCAAAGTACTGTGGATATACTGTGGTTTACCCTCATCTAACGCTCTGAATGCAGTTCATAAAGGCCTTGCTAATTAGCTGATAAGCTGAATCAGGTGTGTTTAATCAGACATTGTGCAGAAGTCTGCAGTGTTTTGGCCCATTAGGACTGGAGCCTGAAACGTGTTGTAGTGTCTTGAATACCATTGTGTTTTGTATAGGCTGTTGAGTTTATTTTGCTCTAATGTGCTTGTACAGCAGCCTGCTCTTTCTTTTTTAATGCCTTTTTAGACGTTGGTTTTAAACTGGATGTGGCGTGTGGCACTGGTACTGGTAAAGCTGGACATTCGGGATACTTTCATTTTTAACCAGTCACGGCTTGTGAGGAAAAAACGTGACGGGGATCTGTTTTGTACATGGTTTTGGTGCCATGTTCCTCATGTTAAATGGCAGAAAACACTTATTTAGACTCATCCAGCAAATAACCAATTTTTTGGCCATTTTTTTTATTCTTTTAAATGAACATACTAAACGTACAAAACTGCACTTTTATTATTGATAAAATCTGCTGTTTGTAAGACCAAACTGTGCTA